GGGGTCTATAGGGTTGTGTCCTGGGTCTGTGGGTCGGGTGACCCAGGCCTACCACTCACCCACCTGTCACCCGCCCACTCGGGTGACCCAGGCCTACCACTCACCCGCCTGTCACCCACCCAGGGTGTCTTGACCAGACCCGCCCTCATCCCACCCAGGTCACCTTATCAAGACCCACACCTGACCCAATGTCCTCGTGGGTGGGGTGGGTGCAGGTGGGTGCGGGTCTGGGTACCCGGTGCTCATCTCTGCGAAATGCACTCAATTGGTCAGAATGCAGAAAGAGCGTACCTGGGAGAACCTGAGAGCCAGAACCTCAACCGAAAAAGAACAGGGTTCCACCTGCTCGACCCCAAAATCCATCGCCTCCAGCAGGGAGCACCAGTCCAGCCTGTGGATTGGGGGGTCACTCAAAAGAAAAGCAGATGAAACAGACAAACATCTGCCAAGTCCATATCAACCAAGGGGAAGCTGACACCAATAGGCTTGGCCAACGCTCTTTCCACAAATATGGAGGTAGACGCCAGCAAAATTAGCAGACAAGGGGCATCACATCACACAGCAGGAGGGACAGGCCCCTCCGAAATGGAAGAAGACCAACCCCCGCATGCAGCCCAAGAGGAAGAAGCGGACATCAAACAAATCACCTCGCAAGATGTTGTCGCAGACACCAGAGGAGAAAACAGCGCGAACACGGCCTCAGGAGGTAGCAAAAAGAGATCTAGGTCAGAGAAGAGCATCAACCACACAACCACAGACCTGCGGAATGACAGACAAGAGTCGGAGGAAGGGGACACGATCGAGGAAGGCTCGGATGACGGAACAAACGAGGAAGACGAAGACATGAGAGAGGAAGAGGGCTATCAAGAACAAGACTTTGACTCACTAGACTACGTCCAAGAGTACGTGAGATCCCTGGAGCTGGAAAGAACAGTCGAATTGGAAGTAAGGTTAGCTCACCACAAGCACCTTCACAACCTCAGATCAACGACCAAAGCAGAGGAAGACATTAGTATGGAGAACAGGTTTGAAATACTCAAGAAAGAGAAAGAGATGAATGAATTCTACACGGCCCAATACAGTATGAAAACCAAGGTAGAAAAGAACAGAATCAGGATAGACCAGAACAGCTACATACAACGATTCACCTGACCCAAAAGCTACGAGAAACAGAGATCAGAAAAGAAAACCAAGAAGCAGAAAGCAACAGACGCACAAAATTCCTCAGAAGATGGAGAACAGAATGCAAAGTCCGCTCCAGCCAAGGAATCAATAGATGAACTCAGAAGACAAGCAACAATCTTGGAGGCACAAGTAAACGCCCTAAAAGATCAGAACAGAGAACTGGATGAGAATTGCCTAAACCTCAAGGATGTAGCAACAGGCGGACACAAGGAGATAGCTGCGGCTGCCAAGTTGGACGCTCACAATAGCCCCATGAAGCGAACGGTGATACCGTATCGTTGGAGTACCACCTTAGGGACTTGGGAGATAGCATACCACAGATCAAACAAGTTCATCTCAGTGTTGGACCAGGAGTGCACACAAAGCACCTTGCGGGAATGCATATCTGACAGGGTACCTGCGAAGGGCCACATTCTGGGGACCACATGGCAAGGCTTGGAGGAATGGAATAACAATGAAAATGAGGTACAGACGACCGATCTCCGGCCGTTGCTGATTGAATTGGAAGATCCTACAACACTAAAGGGAGAATTGGTTTGGGTCCCATGGCTGGTGGTAGAAGCAATGCCCTACGGATTGCTGGGAGGAGAGATAGCAGCAGAAAGAGCAGCCCTGAGCAGCTCCTTGATCACTTCCTATGGGTTGTTTGTACTGACCCCCTACCAGCTTAACCAGAGAATGTGGGAGTCTATTGCAACCGAGAGGAAGCTGAGTCCTTCCGACTCCTAAAGTAAAACACTCCCGAGCTCATGGAAGACGAGTTGAGCTCAAGCAATGGGGGACCAAATAAGGGAGAGACAAGTCCCTCTGACCCAAAGGAAATTCTGCCTCCGCCAGCTCCAACCAGACCTCAGAATCTTGTCATGGAATGTCAATGGCATGTCCTCCTTACTCTCCAATCCAAAGAAGTGGGACAACTTAACCAGAGACACGGAGTGGTTTGGGAAGTGGGACCGTATGGAGGGTTGGTGGAGTACGGAGCCTGGGCATGGTCGTCTTCTTTGACGATGGTGGATTCACATCACTCATCACTCATCATTTCTCTTGCGCTTCATGTGACCACTGTTAACAGAACGTGCGTTTGTAACGTCCACGTGTTAACGTGCGTCTGCTTCATGTGACCACTGTTAACAGAACGTGCGTCTGTAACGTCCACGTGTTAACGTGCGTCTGTTCTCTTTCAGAGAATTAATGATGTCTTTGATGAAACAACTTTCTTCTTTTGCCTTTTGGCATGTGTTGTACTGCGTCGTATGAGCAGTCTTTGTTATCCTTATCCTTACTATGTATCCAAGAAACCCATTTAACGGATTCTGAAGAACACCAAAGAACACTAACACAAATCACAAAGAAACTGAGATGGGTGAAAGAAGCAATCTGGGCAACAACTCCTCGGGCCAACTCCGCAGGGGTAGCCATACTGACCCACGCGAAATCCAAGTCAGCAAATAGAATCACTAGAGTAAACGCAAACATAGACACAGAGGAGGGTAGATGGGCCTGTCTCAATTTCCTAATGGGCGGAGAACAATTCAGGATCATGTCTATCTATCGCCCTAACACACTTAACCAAAGAGCGGGACTAATTGAGAGCCTCCTCCTGAGATGCGTGACCGACAAGCCACTCATCCTAGCAGGAGACTGGAATGCCACCCTTGACCCAACGCGCGATCGAGTAACAGGAGGAAGACTAGGGTCAGACCAAACAGCCTGGAACGAAGCTCTCCCCATACATGATCTGATGGTAGAAAAGAGTCTCATAGACCCATTTAGAGTTATACATACGGAGAGCAAAGAATTCACGTACTTAAAAAGGAACAAAAGTCAACACATATCAGCATCAAGAATCGACTACTTCCTAATGTCGGAATCCCTTATAGGCACAGTCAATAATATAGAAATAGGAAAACTTCCTTATTATGTAGGGCTCGACCACAAGCCAATCCGCTTATCACTTAAATTAGGAATTACCCCTAATAGAGGACGTAGTTTTTTCAAAATTAACAAACTCTTTACTTAATACCGCCGAAATGAGGGAAGCCGTACTCACCACCTGCATCAACCACGACAGTGTAAACCAAGATTTTCCTAACCTGGTCCAAGCACTAACAAAGTCCACATCAAAGGCCTCTAGGCTGTTAGCCGCAAAAAGAAACCAAAGGGAATAGGAGCTACAACAAGCTATGAAGGTGGCTGAGAAAAACCTGGTGAACAATCCAGGTAACAACCTCTATGAGCGAATCTTCGAATGCACCAGACAGGAGTTGGCGGAGTGGGAAGAATGGAGAAACAAAGGGCTGAGGATGAGAGCTCGAGTCAAAGAATGAGAAGAAGGTGAGAAAATGACCAAGTACTTCTTCAACAAGATCAGAACCAATGCCCGGAACGCAAGCATAGAAAAACTAAAGACCGAATATGGGCCATCGGCCTGCCCCAGCAAATGCTAGCGGCAGCTGCCAACTTCTTCCAAAATCTCTACACCTCAAAGGAGCCAGAGCATCCAGAATATATAACAACACGAGCCAGAACAAAGTTCCTAGCCTACCTCGACAGAACGATAACTACAAAGCAAGCGGCAGAACTGGACGCACCGATCTCGGAACAGGAAGTCCTTGAGGCACTACAATCCATGAAACCGAACAAAACTCCCGACGTAGACGGACTCTCTAAGGAATTCAAGGTAACCTTTTGGCCAGCATTGGGAACAAAGTACTGTGCATTCTTAGACAAGGCATGGTCTAGGGCCCATTGGGCAAATCCTTAAGCACGGGAGTGGTCTCCCTTCTGTACAAGAAAGGAGATCCCACAGACATCAGAAGCTACAGACCAATCTCCCTGTTGTCAGTCACATACAAAATCTTGCCCAAGCTCCTGGCAAACAAGATAAGAACAATAACAAAGAACTGTTTTCATCTTGATCAGACTGGCTTCATACCCGGAAGGTTTATACTAGACAACGTAATGACACTCAATGAGTCAGTCAGGTACATCCTGGAAAAAAGAATAAATGCCGCCATACTATTCTTTGATTTTGAATATGACCAGGTAAATTGGAACTTCCTTCAATAAAGCATGGAAAAAAGGGGATAGGCCCTATCTTTCGAAAATGGGTTCATATCCTCTATGCTGAAGCCCATGGTAGAGTACAAGTCAATGGCCACCTCTCAAACACACCGCATGTCCCGGTCAGTGAGGCAGGGAGATCCACTAGCAGCCCCTATTTTCCTCTTCATCATGGAAGCCATAGCCTCGTTCCTGAGGAAAGACCCATCAATAGAAAGACTAGTGGAAGACAGACAACACCCAATCTCACTACCCACCACTATCGTGTTTGCAGATGACCTGACCGTCCTAATACGAGCCTCAGAGTCGTCATTCCACGCACTTACAAGAGCAATGCTGGCATTTCAAATAGCATCAGAAATGAGAATCAACTGGCCCAAAACAGTCGGCTGGTGGCTAACACACCCACAAACCGACCCTCCACCAAGTACCCCGGAAGGCATGACTTGGTCCCGGGGCAACGAACCACTCAGATTCTTGGGAATACAGATGTCCAAGCATGGCCCCAATCCGGATATGGCTCCGACATTAATGAACAAAATAATAACCAAACTCGACAGCTGGTCTAAGGTACACACCTCTTTATTCGGCATAGCTCTAATCCTTAACGCATCGATTTTCTCAATGTTATGGTACGCAGCAACAATATGGAGCCCACCAAAATGAATAAGACTCCAACTCAGAAGGAGAGCAGCAGCCTATCTTTGGTCTGGGGTCCCCTCGAAAGCCAATTTCATCTCAAAGGTGGCGTGGAGATATGTCACACTCAAGAAGTCACAAGGCGACCTAGGAATCCTAGATCCAGAAACACAAATCAAGGCACTGCAAACCAAATGGGTCCTTAAGATAATAAATAACCATAATCTGCCATGGACCAAGTTAGGATTGTACAAAATACAACGGTTAGCCAAATACAAAACACCGGACAACATGACGGCGAGTTCTGGATCATGAACAAATCCTGGGCAATGAAGGGAACAGCGCAAACATCTGGTACAGAGGAAGAGGGGTGTCAACAAAACGGGGACTTCTAGAGACAACTGACGAGAACATGGAGGGAAATTCTGCCAGCCAAAGTGAGAGAGCCCACAATCAAGGAAGAGGTCCTGCGCCAACCTCTTTTCTGCAACCAATGGATCCTCG